CAGTGTGGACGTAGATGAAGCTGCACACAGGTCTGTGTAGTGCAATACAGACACATTAGCACAGCTGTGAGACCCGTGTCCAGCAACTGCAAGCCCAGGTTTACAACGTAGTGTGGATGCTCAAGCACAGGCTTAGAAACCTCTAGTCCACAAGCCTGGGTCCCATCGACCCAGGTTTACAAAGCCGTATAGACAGACCCCGAGGCACAGAGAGGAGAAGTGACTTGCCCAAAGTCGCTCTACAGGCCCATGGCAGAGCTAGATATAGAGCCCAGGTCTCCTGATTCCCAGTCTAGTGCTCTAGCCACTAGGCTGCACTGCCTCCAGTCCCAGCAGGTGAGCTGAGTTCTCTAGGGAGATGTTCAGAGTCGATCTATACGCTGACAGCTGGTGCAATCCAGATGTAACACTTCGCATGGCAGGTCTTGTTCTTTGTTTGGGTCCCCACCTGCTGAAGCTGTTGATTTGCAATTAACTCAGTGGACAGAAAGACTAACAGCGCTGGCAGAGTTCCCTGCACCACACCCCATTGTTTCCGTGTCCTTCGCTTGTTGGACGTTTGTCCCCTCCGACGCGGAGCAGAGGGCTGGCTCCCGGGCACTGGCTCATTAAACAAGGACAGTGACAAACGAGTGTCGGTCCACACACCTCACCTCCCGCACTCGCCACACTCTGTACCTGCCCACCTCAGAGGCACCTCGCGTACACAAACGCCTGCCCCAACAGAGCCTCCACCATCTACACACCTCTTCACTCACACGCCCAGGCACCCACCCACTCGCACTACACGCACACACTCACCGAACACCTATCCCCCTACATCTCCTGGACACACACGCACACACTCACCGAACACCTATCCCCCTACATCTCCTGGACACACACGCACACACTCACCGAACACCTATCCCCCTACATCTCCTGGACACACACGCACACACTCACCGAACACCTATCCCCCTACATCTCCTGGACACACACGCACTCACCGAACACCTATCCCCCTACATCTCCTGGACACACACGCACACACTCACCGAACACCTATCCCCCTACATCTCCTGGACACACACGCACACACTCACCGAACACCTATCCCCCTACATCTCCTGGACACACACGCACACACTCACCGAACACCTATCCCCCTACATCTCCTGGACACACACGCACTCACCGAACACCTATCCCCCTACATCTCCTGGACACACACGCACTCACCGACAACACCTATCCCCCTACATCTCCTGGACACACACACACACTCACCAAACACCTATCCCCCTACATCTCCTGGACACACACGCACACACTCACCGAACACCTATCCCCCTACATCTCCTGGACACACACGCACACACTCACCGAACACCTATCCCCCTACATCTCCTGGACACACATGCACACACTCACCGAACACCTATCCCCCTACATCTCCTGGACACACACGCACTCACTCACCGAACACCTATCCCCCTACATCTCCTGGACACAAACGCACTCACTCACAGAACACCTATCCCCCTACATCTCCTGGACACACACGCACACACTCACCGAACACCTATCCCCCTACATCTCCTGGACACACACGCACACACTCACTGAACACCTATCCCCCTACATCTCCTGGACACACACTCACTCACCGAACACCTATCCCCCTACATCTCCTGGACACACACGCACTCACCGAACACCTATCCCCCTACATCTCCTGGACACACACGCACTCACCGAACACCTATCCCCCTACATCTCCTGGACACACACGCACACACTCACCGAACACCTATCCCCCTACATCTCCTGGACACACACGCACACACTCACCGAACACCTATCCCCCTACATCTCCTGGACACACACGCACTCACCGAACACCTATCCCCCTACATCTCCTGGACACACACGCACACACTCACCGAACACCTATCCCCCTACATCTCCTGGACACACACGCACTCACCGAACACCTATCCCCCTACATCTCCTGGACACACATGCACACACTCGCACACACGCACACACACACACACACCCCACATGCACACACCCCTAATACTTATTCACTCACATCGCATATGTCCCATGCACACTCGGCAAATATCTATCCAGCCACATCTCATCGACACACTTACCCACAAACATCTCACTTACACCCCACAAATACCGAAGCACGCATATACCGGTGCATCCCTCGTCCACATATACCACAACAACTACAGCCCTAACCTTTCACCTCACAAACACACAGTACACACAGTGCTCACCTGCTTCACTACATACACACACACTCACATCCAGCTCTATATCAGCTGTAACACACACACACACCCCTCCCAGACATATCCTCTCACATCACAAGTACACACTGCATACACTGCTTATAGACTGGCCACACACTTTACACACAATACACACTTCCCACAGATTTCCAGCACAGATGGATCCCGTGCAACACAACCATACAGCCGCACACACATCCACCCCTTTCAGACTTATCCACCCATATCATAAATGCACAGGATGTACCCTGTGTTACTCACCCCCTTCACACACCAGCCACTTATTTCACACGTTTACGTGTACACACACCCCCACAGCTACCCACCTGTATCCCCAGAGCTATATCCCACACCAACACCCCCCCCCAAGTACCTATCCACCCACACTACACACACCTGATACCGCCCCACCCCAGGCAACACCCGCCCACCATCCACACGCTCCAGTCACAAACTCACATCACGCGTCCCGCCCTCCCCCAGCCACAAAAAATAGAATAAAAATCATCCCGCTCAGGGAAGAGAAAGAACAAACAGTCAGGAAACATTCTCTGGATTAAATGTGTAACTAATCCCATCTAAGATAGGCCTGTTTGTTTGCATTGCACCACGGTGTTTGCTTAGATTGTTTTATCCTCCCCCTTAGCAAACTGAGTAGCTGCCTGGTTACTCTCACATGACACTGAGCGCGAAACTTGGCACACACACACACACACACGGCCTAATATAGACTTCCAATTATCTTTTAATTTTGCTCCTGTCTTCATTTGTTCATTTCATTCCTTTTTTTTAAGCAATCATTTATTTCACTCCAAGGCGGCTATGGCTGCTCCGGAGACTGGCTGCACCTGCCATGCTCAGCCCGTTGTAGCAAGAGGACTTTGTGACTTTCCCAGCGGTTCCCTTCACTTGCTATTACTGAACTTCAGGTCGCCACGTCTCCCCAGGGAATGAGGAAGACTGGGAATGCCTCCCTGCCGGTTCCTGCCCCTGCCTCAGGGCACTCAAATTCATGGCTACTTATTCACACGACCAAGGAGGGAGCCTCAGCACAGAGAGGGGTAACACAGTGTTCTCATCACCTGCTCCACCTGATGGGAACGGGTTGTGGTATAGAATCATAGAATATCAGGGTTGGAAGGGACCCCAGAAGGTCATCTAGTCCAACCCCCTGCTTGAAGCAGGACCAATTCTCAGTTAAATCATCCCAGCCAGGGCTTTGTCAAGCCTGACCTTAAAAACCTCTAAGGAAGGAGATTCTACCACCTCCCTAGGTACATCCCCCCGCTCCGGCAAGTGCCTTGGGGAGGGAGGACGAGGAGCAGGGAGAGGAGGGGCTGTGAACCACATCTGGAAACGAGCACCCCAGGGCAGATCCTCCGCTGACGTCACTGGAGTTTTACATCAATTGACACCAGATGGGGATCTGGCTCTACAGTGTTATTTGCAAGGTTGGAAAGGCAGCTGGTCTACTCCCTGAGCTGCTTCTGCTGCTAGAGGCGAAGGCCTCCCACAACGGATTCAGGGTTGAGGTACATGGCCCGTCTTGAATCTGCCCCTGAACTTTGGGGTGCTTAGCCAATCCTTGCCCACGGCTGTGATGGTAACCCCCTGGAACCGAGGGAATGAGCTGAAGGTTTGTAAGCAGCTGGCATTTCCACCCTGCTGCTAAAGGAGCACATTCACATGCTGGCCCAAACTTCCCCCCCCCCCCCCGGGCATTTGCCTTTATGGTTCATTTAAACACCACCACCGCCACCACATAAATCTCAGCTCGTGTTTTGCCCTGAGCGTGACTATGCTTAGGGATTGTCCAAGATGGATGGATGGGTGGATTGACACACAGACCCTGCCTCAAAGAAAGACTCGACCCTTTATACCTCTAAGTTGGAACTAACAGGATCCACTGGTTCTGATATCCACTGTCAGCCCAGGTTTCAGCAGGCAGACGTCCGCCGCATGAGAACGTCGCCACACCTGGCACCTCTGCTGTCAGCAGATAGGATAAGGACTAGCCAGGCCATGAAGCTGGGATGTCCTCTCACCAGGACAGGACGTGCCTCCAAGGTGAGGAGTGAGGTTAATGGGCAGGGCAGTATGCAGAGAAACTTTTCAAAGTGATCAGTTCTGTGTGGGTAAACAGGGGACTTCCCTCTCCAGGACTGTCAATCCTGCACGTGTTCCTCTACTCACTCCCCATCCATGGGCCCACCAAGCCGCATCAACTCCTTCTGGCAGTGTCCAAGCTGGCCATCCATCAGTACAGGAGGCGGGAGATGGATGGGGGTCAGTCTTCTGCGACTGTGTGGCCTTTTTCCAGACCCTTGCCCAGGCATGCGTCCTGTAGGTAGTATCCCATCTCCTTGGACTCCTTCTCACATCAGTGGACTCTGTCTGTGGTTCTCTTCTTGGCATCCCTCAATTTGACCCCGTGACCCTCCCCCGCAACATGCACAGAGTTTGTTCATTCTTTGGCCCCAGGAATCGGTTAAATTCTTGGTTCCTGGCCCCTCCCTCACCTGAGATGGGGGGGGGCTTTCATTCTTTTCCTGGGCTCCTCCCACCAACCAAGGATTTAAAATAGGCCAGCCCCTTTCCCCAGCTACCATATTCGTAATAAGCTGAAAACAAAATGGACCCTTTTAAAAAAAATTGTTTAAAGGCATGGAGAAAAGTCTGGGGGCTGGCTTGGGAAGCTATTTTCACCCCTCCTTTGCCTTTTGACTTACTTGTATTTTTTCTAAGCCTCTCTGTTTACCCGGCTAATAAAGCCAGCTCCATGTCACTTACTGTCTGCTGCCTGGCATGCACATTTGCACCTGAGCCCAGCCCAGCCCACCTTGCTCAAATATGCAAAGCTGCTATGGAAAGCAGACACTGAATGCTCCAGCCGCCAGCTGGAAGCCTGTGCCAGTCTATCTGCCGCAGGTGAAAGTCACCTTGCCCCCAAACTCCTCGGGGAGCTCAGAGAGAGAGAGAGGCCTGCTTTGCCTTGAGCTTGTCCCAGCGTGGCAATCGTTAATCAGATTCTTCGCATTCCTGACTGCTGGCCTGTTATGGAAGAATGACCAAGGGGGATCAAGTCAGCCAGGACTGGCAGCCAGACATGCAGCTCACTGGGAAGCTGGCACTTTCCGCAGCAGCTCTGCTTCTACTGACTTTGGCTTATAGAGTCTATAAGTCCCGGCCATCCAGCCGCAGGATCCGAAAAGCCGACCGTGGAACAGGGCAGAGAGAAAAGGCTGGATCTGGAAGGGGAGGCGCAGAAGAAATGCCACAGGGACTCAGGTACAGGCAAGTCAACAGCAATGGGGTGAGGCCAAGCAGCAGCAAAGGGAATCAAGGTGCGCACCTGGGTGGGACGGTCGTGCCGGGAAATGCGCGGGGCCCACAAAGCACACCGCTCAGGGAAGATCAAAGGCTGCCGAAGGGGGAGGAGGAGGAGGAGAAAGAGAAGGGAACAGAGGCTTGTCAGCTGGTCACTGAATCACAGCCAGGCAGAAAGCAGCCTGTTTCAGAGGGAGAGGGGCAGAGTCCAGGTGTGGTCCCGAGCGCGGGGCCGATGGCAACAGCAGACGGTGCAGAGCAGGAGGCGCCGGTGGCAGAAACAGAAGCCGGGGGTAAGCGTAACGTTTGCGGTCTGGCAAGCAAACCGGACGGCTCTGTAGAGGACAGCAGGGACGTAGCCTCGCAGCAATCTGGGTTTAGCGTCAGCCTCAGGCACAATCCTTGCAGCACCCAACCAGGAAACGCTGCTGAGCTCACAGCAGCTGACAGATCCACCCCGAACACTGAGGAGGAGGAGGAAGTAGGAGACATGAGTGAGAGTTTGGTTTGGAACCAGGAGGCCTGCGCTGGCCAGGAGAGGATTCAGACCCTCAATGCCACGTCAGACATGGGCTTAGCCATCAACCAAAGCAATAAGAGGTCTGAGGCCTCCTACGCTTTCTCCTCTGTTGCAAAGATACAGGTGGAGGAAAACTATATTAAAGAGAGGCAGCCCAGGGAAGAAAAGCCACGGCAGTCCACATCCTCTGCTACTAGCCTGCGAGGCAAGGTCTATGACTACTACGTCCAGTCCACCTCGCAGTCTGTGTCGAAGGAGCGGCCCTGCTCGTACACCGGCTCACTCTACGACCCTGACAAAATCCGTGAAGAGCTAAGTGAATATGAAACTTGGCTGCGCATGTCTACACCCCAAGAACCAGCCAGGGAGTCGGCAGTGGGAGATGAAGACCGAGCATCACCAACAGCAAACACCCCACCCATCTCTCCCAGTCTCCTGCCTTCCAGACATCCCACAGAGAGTGGGGAGCCTGCAGACTGGGGTGGTGCATCTGATCAGGGCAGCTCCTTCCCACCCGCCCAGAAGACAGCTGAACCAGAACGCAGGTTGGGCAGGAAAGAGAGTTTCCACCAAATTGCAGATAACCCCGAACTTCAGGTGCAGATGGAAGGGTTTGGGGCTTTGACACCAGCCGGCAGAAGATCTGACTCAAGCACTCCCCCCACTAGTCCTCTCCGCTCCGGCTCCGTCGTTTCCTGGGTGGAATCGTTTCACAGGCTCCAGCCTCAAGCAAGCAACGAACCCAGAGTGGAACTCATTGCTGGTGCCAACTTCTTCAAAGTCCCATTAAGCTTGCAGTCCGACGTGGACATTCACTTGGATTTGGGGAACTGCTATGATGTCCTGTGCATGGCCAAGAAGCAGAAAGTGGACAGTCTCCAGGAGGCAGCTTATAAGGTCATGAGCGACAATTACCTTCAGGTCCTGAAGAACCCATCAATCTACGGGCGCCTCAATGCCAGGGAGAGGGAGCTGATCCTCCTGAGGAGGATGAAGGGCAGGAAGTACGTCACTGTGGCGGACGTCAGCACTCAGGAGCAGAGCTTGCACACCAGCAGGCTCTGTTACTATGATAATGAAGGCGACGTCTGGCATCCGCTGTCCTATATGCCAGTGGAGGCGGTTTCTAGGGGGTGTGCCATCTGCAGCATGTTCAATTACCTCTTTGTGGTGGCTGGCTGCGAAGGGGTGGGCCAGCACCAGAAGCCTTCCAACAGGGTCTTCTGCTACAACCCCCTGACCAATATCTGGCAGGAGATCTGCCCACTGAACCAAGCCAGGCCTCATTGCAAGCTTGTCGCCTTGGATGGGTGCCTGTATGCGATTGGGGGAGAGTGCCTCTATACTGTGGAGAGGTATGACCCCCGCCAGGACCGGTGGGCCTTCACCGCGCCGCTGCCCAATGATACCTTCGCCGTGGCCCACACCGCAACGGCGTGCGACGGGGAGATTTATGTGACCGGGGGCACACTGCGCTACATGTTGCTCCGGTACGTCAGCCGGTCGGACAGCTGGAAGGTCAGCATCGCCGGCGGGAGCAAGGACCGGACCACCGAAATGGTCACCGCCGGGGGCTTCATCTACCGCTTTGACCTCAACCGCAGCATGGGCATCAGTGTCTACCGCTGCAGCCCGAAAGCCAAGCTGTGGTACGAGTGCGCCACCAAACGCACGCCCTTCCCGCCCTGCTTCCAGTGCGCCGTGGTCGAGAACCTGGTCTACTGCATCAGCCGCCAGTCCAACATCAGGTTCCTGGCTGACTACGTCTCGCCGCGCTTCGGAGTCAAGGAGTTACAACTTTTCCCTTCCCCCCGAGGGACCCTCTTCCCCGTCGTCCTGGTGCTGCCAGACAGAGGCACGGTGCAAACAACGGTCTGATGGGAAGCTAAAAAAAAAAAACCCTGATTCTTCTCTCTTCTTTTGTCCTGTGCTCTTGGGCCAAAGGCAGCTCCCAGAGCCTGAGCCACAGAACTCAGAGCCTGGTCAAATCCGGACTTCCCTGAAGTCCAGGGATATTCACTTCCACAGATCTAATTCAGCCCATTATAGAGATGATCCAACTGTGGCATTTGCATCCAAACTTTCAGGGGGGCTTTTATCCTTGGTTCAAGCCCTTCTCTACTTAAAAAGCAGCCGGCGGCCATGCAGGCCCTGGAGGGTGGGGAGGAACAAAGCAGGCTAACTGTATATTTCCATTGCTAGCAAATGCCTCCCACTAGCCGTTCCCGTTCATCTGCCACAGAAGATGCAAACAGCGGGTGCATTGGGTGGGTGCCTTTGTTTTGTGGATCCTTAAATGCCTGTAAATGTGGGTGCAAATTAAATGCAGGCCTCAGGCTCCTGGGAAGTTGCCACAGGGGAGCAAAGTTTGGGACACCTCTACAGTAATTTTCCACTGTGCCTGGTGCGGTACATCGCTATGCCTTACAGGCAAGGGGTGTTTATTACATACCAGAAAGACAGTTGCAAAGGGAGCTCCCTGGAGGTTTTTCAAGTGTGCGGGTGGAGGGAGGGAGTCTGAAAGGGACAGCATCCAGACTGTGTCATTTCCACCAGTGCCATGTCAAGGACTTCAGCTGCCTGCGAGGGCTGGAACTGAGGCAGGGTATGGCCATAGGCATCATCACCTAAAGCAAGCAGCTGAGCGGCGAGCCCCATGTCCCCGTGTCGGCAGCCCCAGCAGGGAGGCCAGGAGCTGAATGGGCTGCGGCTGCGGAGCCAGCTCAGGGCTGTGGCACCCAGGCAGGGCATCAAGGGGGGAGCTGCCATTGTTTATGCCCAGGCCATGATCATTCAGCGAGTAAAGAGACAACTTCAGCCTCCGCCGGGCCTGCCAAGATGGCGCTTTCCAACAGCACGGTACGTTTTTGAATGGCTAGAGAACTGGGCCGCTTCCAAAAATAGCCCCAGGTCCCAGCCCACACCGAATGCAGTTGCAGTTTCCATGGCAAACGTCAGTGAGGCGAACTTTGCCCCAGCTACTGAGCCAAGCACGGAGATCAGCTACCTGCTCTGGGCCTGGTTCACAGCTGTCCCGCGGCCCCTTTGCACTGGCTATGAAAAGCAGCGGCCCAGCCCCTCGGCGCACAAGGCTTTTCTTACAGCTGTCTGTGCTCCCCCCTCCTCCTCCTCAGCAAGAGCTCCAGGTACAAGGGGCATTCTGGGCGCGGCTGGGGGAAGGACGGGGGTGTGGCTGGGGTAGGTTTCTGTGCTGGGGATTCCCTGCTTGCCATAATGGGTATAAGGCAACTGGGTGAAAGTTAAGGATCCACTAGCAGGCAAACTCGGGTCCAAACCAACCCCTGGCAGCCACAGAATCTGGGGGGACGTAGGCCCCCTCAACTCTCTTTAGCCCCTACCCTCATTGCCTTCATATTTCAAAAAAAACCTCTGCTGCATTGATTGTTATTGCCATGTCTTTATATTACAGTAGCACCTAGCGTCTCCAGTCTGGATCAGTCCCCACTGATGTACAGCTGCGTAAGGCTAACTGTTGTGCTTTGGTCAAGTCATTTAACCGCTCTGTGCCTCAGTTTCCCCATCTGTAAAACGGGGATAACGATACTTAGCTACCTTACAGAGCATCGCTAAGCTAATTCAAGTCAGTGAAGACTATGAAAGCCCTTCCGTGCAAGATGCTATCTATTTATTGATCTTAGGGATATCCAAAGCACCTCTTGCCTTGTTATCTAAATGCTACAGAAGTACAAATGTTTGGTATTGAATAAAACTAACCAAGATCGGGTGTTGTGCATCTTTTAAAATCTGTAATCGAACCTACAAGAAAGAAAACGATTGGTAACAAGATTCTGAAGTGAGTTAGCAAATTAAAACAAGAATGTCTTTGCAAAAAGTTTTAATGGGCACAACTGCCTTAATATCTGATCCTGCACACGGAGCCAGTGCAGCTCTCTATTGGTCAAGCAGATGCTATGGTATAAGCTGGCCAATTGTCTCAGCTCTGATTGGCTCAGGGCAAAAGGGATTTCACACGTTTTGAAGGAGGCACTGCAAGGTAAAATCCTTTAACAAGAGCAAATGAGTCCCTTAACATAAGGGCTGGGACCAAGGTGTGACGTTGCACTCCATAATGCTTTATAGAAATATGCTTAGGAGTGTAAATATGACATAACTGGAATATATTTTATGCTACATATGCCATGTAACATATCTTTGCAAAGGTTATGTTCTGCTATTCATCCTATTCATGTGCATGTATCATTTTTATATCTGAAGTTAGGGGCGTTGGCTCTATGCTTTTATTTGAAATGTTTGCTGTAGAAAGCACCTAAGGCAGATTTGATCAACATAGTGTGAGGGGGTTATTCAAGTAAATGGAAGTACTTGGCTAACAATGGACCTTGATAGATGCCAATCCACATCTGAGCTTTCCTGGGAATGTTCCTAAACTTAATTTCCCCAATACTAATTTCTCCCTACTGTTACTCACGCCTTCTTGTCAACTGTCTGTAATGGGTCACTCTCTTACCACTTCAAAAGTAATTTTTCCTCCCTTGGTATCCTGCTGTTAATTGATTTATCTTGTTAGACTGACCTCACACTTGGTAAAGCAACCCCCTATCCTTTCATGTATTTATACCTGCTCCGGTATTTTCACTCCATGCATCCGATGAAGTGGGTTCTAGCCCATGAAAGCTTATGCCCAAATAAATTTGTTAGTCTCTAAGGTGCCACAACCTCGTTGTTTTTGTAGAGAACTAAGTCATTCATGGACATGTGACTTGGCCATGTGACTCCAAAACTCCATCTTGTAGAGGGGATTCTACACAGGGGGAGGGAGGTGTTTAGACCCACAAGGAGAAACTATATAAAACCTTGGGAGACCCCTCCATTTGGTCTTCAGCTGGCTCAAGAGATAGCCTCTCCACCCCCAAAGGATACCTGAAAGATACTGGAACGAAGGACAGTAACCACAGGGGTGTGAGTGATTACTGGACTCAGACTAGAAGGAGGCTCGTCTGTAAAAGAAGCTTATTGAAACATCTCTGAGGGTGAGATTTTATCTGTATTCAGTTTTCTTACTGTATTAGGCTTAGACTTGCGTGTTTTATTTTATTTTGCTTGGTAATTCACTTTGTTCTGTCTGTTATTACTTAGAACCACTTAAATCCTACTTTTTGTATTTCACAAAATCACTTTTTACTTATTAATTAACCCAGAGTATGTATTAATACCTGGGGGGGGGGAGGGCAAACAGCCGTGCATCTCTCTCTGTCAGTGTTATAGAGGGAGAACAATTTATGAATTTACCCTGTATAAGCTTTATACAAAGTAAAATGGATTTATTTGTGGTTTGGACCCCATTGGGAGTTGGGTATCTGAGTGCTGGAGACAGGAGCACTTCTTAAGCTGTTTTCATTTAAGCCTGCAGCTTTCGGGGGAACGTGGTTCAGACCTGGGTCTGGGTTTGCAGCAGGCTAGAGGGTCTGGCTCAAACCAGGGAGGGCACTGAAGTCCCAAGCTGGCAGGGCAAGCAGGGGCAGAGATAGTCTCAGCACATCAGGTGGCAGTCCCCAAGTGGCTTTCCGTGATCCAACCCGTCACACACGGAAAAGAAACTTTAGGAATAAAATTAAAGGTGTGAATTTTATCACAGTCATGGAGGAGCAGAACCAGGGAATGGTGATAATAAAGATATCAAGGTCTGATCCAAAGCCCACTGCAGTCAATCAAGAAAGCGTGCCCCCCAGCAGAGGTAGACAGACGTATGCTAGCTTCACTCAAGCTATTGGGCTAAAAATAGCAGTGTGGATGAGGCATCTCCAGTTGCGGTTTGGACTAACTAACCCCTCAGGTCCAAGGGGGTCAAACAAAGCATTCCGTTCAGCCCCAAATTAAATCTTTCCATTTTGAACCTTTTTGAGAAGACAATTAAATTGAAGGAAATTTCTAAACAAAAAGTTGCTTCGATTCGAAAAATCAAAATGTTTGATTTTGAAAATTTAAATCCTGGGATGGTGGGAGGAGCCCATGAAACGGCCAAATAAAACAGTTGTAATTTTCGGGGGGGGGGAGTGGGGAGTGGGCAGCTGAAACAATTCAGCAAAATCAAAGGGGGTTTGCAACATGTTTTGGCACTGCTGAATCTGCCTTTTTTCTTGCACAAAAAAAACCCCCAAAAAACCGAAACACAAAGTTTGGCCAACAATGTCACCCAGCTCTAGTCAATGGCTCATGACCCTGAACTAATGCTAACAAATGTGATAGTCGGTATGGGTTCTTGATTGTGCATGGGGTGTTCTGGGTCCTGCAGAATGGTTCACACAGCCCTCGTGTGAACCCAGGGGTCCTGACCAAAATTCCAAGTTGGGTTATACAATTATGTCGCTCAAAATGTCCCCTATCCTTTCAGTTGTATAAATTATTCTTCATTATTCTTCTGAAACTACTACACAGCATTGTTATTGGCTGTCAAACAGCTGCCATGCTCAATCTCAGAGGTGGCTGCATTTCCATGGTGGGGGGGGGGGGATCTCCGGTATGTGCCTTACCTGGCTCACAATGGAGGGGGTGCTGAGGATTAACGAAAGCTTATAAAGTGCTTAGTGGTCAAAAAAATGATGGTGCTGTGAGGCACAAAGTATAATTATGTGTTACTCGCTTTTGATCTCAGTATATTTGACCCAAGGTTAATGTTCTTTAAAGGTACATTTTACGGGCGTGAATGTGGAAATATCCTCAATGCAGGTTTTAATTTTTAAACTCATTCATGTCAATTTTACAAAGATTATTACTGTGTAATCACATGCCCTATTACGATATCCTTATTACTGTAAATGCCCCCAAATGGCATAATTAAGATCCATAACCTGCCACAATCATTACTGTGCTTTCCATCCATCCTGGGTGTTTCAAAATACAGTTTTATCAAAGCACCAAAAGCAATTAATCAGGAGTGCACAGTAAGTGATCACAAGTTTTTAATTTGCAGGGAGGCCTAGTGTTTTTTGAGCGTGCATGAGGCCAAACTGTTCCAAAGTCCACAGTGTGTGGGGGGGGGAGAGGGGGAGGGAGGGGGTGTCCATTGACTTCAGTAGGTTTTGGATCGGCCCCTAAAAGAGGATAGTGAAGTGCTCTCCAGGGCCTTGATCCTGCAAACTTTTCTACACGTGCTTGTTTTTTTACACATATGAGTAGGCCCCTTGATTTGAAAGGAGCCCCCTCGCATGCGTAAAGTTAAGTGTCAGCAAGAGCAAGGTCCATATGTCTGCAGGGTGTAAATGCAAAGGAGGACAACTATTGACAATGCAGTGGAAACAACGAAGGATAGTGGGATCATAGAATCATAGAATCTCAGGGTTGGAAGGGACCTCAGGAGGTCATCTAGTCCCACCCCCTGCTCAAAGCAGGACCAATCCCCAGCTAAATCATGAATGAAACCAAGTAAAGAATTATTTAGGATGAAATGTTGGGTTTAAACCAACGTTCAACTATTGGGGGTTAGGCTAGGGTGACCAGATGTCCCAATTTTATAGGGACAGTCCCGATTTTTGGGTCTTTTTCTTATATAGGCTCCTATTACACACACACACACACCCGTCCCGATTTTTCACACTTGCTGTCTGGTCACCCTAGGTTAGGCAGAGATTTCACCAGGGGCAGGTTTCCCATAACTGCCTAAATCGGCATTTCATGCACATTCCTCTAAAGCATCTGGTAGTAGCCTTTCTCTCATGGTCTGGTCCAGTATGGAAATTCCGATCAAAAACCAGCCTAACCAGGAGATCTATTATGCTGTACATAAATCTCTTAAGAGATGAGCCAGTGGCTTGGGCATTAGCTTGGGACATGGGGACCTGGAGTCAAGTCCCTGCTCTGCCACAAACGTCCTGTATGACCCTGGACATGTCACTTAGCCTCTCCGTGCCTCAGTTCCCCCATCTGTACAATGGGGTTAATAGCCCTTCCCTACCTCAGAGGGGCCATGTGAGGATAGATACATTACCACAGTATCTGAGCACCCACAATCATTCATGAGAAACAGAGTAGTACCTTAGATAGATTTAGTTTAAAACCACAAAACAGCTTTGGAGACCATGGCAGAGAGAGGCTAATGGATTGTTCCCATCTCCAGTTTGTATGAGAGCAAGGGACTAATGGCTTTGACTAGAAGCCAGGCAGATGATGGGAAATCTCCCCTCCTCCCACCCATGCACTCTCCAAATTATTAGTCATTCTGTTTAGCTTGGGGTGACATTTGTAAGATGAGGCACATGAGGGACGTTCTGTGTCTGAGTACGGGCTGTTCTGAAGGCACCTGGCTGCTGTGGGACGCTGGGCAGATGTCAGGTAACCATGTTGAGTTAGCCCTGCTCAAAAAGCACCTGTGCCCTTGTGATCTAAATGGCTTTTGAGTGTGGGTGTCTGTGTGGGTGTGTGCGTGTGGGTGTCCCTTGCTACAGGCTGCGTCAGAACCAAAGACAAAACAGCAGCTGCCTCCAGGAGACAGGGAGAGGCCTGGAAATTTAGAGGCACAGAAAACAAATGTCATACTGAAACAGAAATTGCTCAGGTACCACAGTGCATCCGGCACTAACAGCCACATGGGAGCCTTCTGAAAAGGAAATGAAAAGCTGGTACCTATAACCTGATGGCTTTTAGCAGCACATCAATTGACATGAAGGAGGAAGCCATGACTCATGGACAGGCAATGCAGCAGCACTGGTGAAACATGGAGGGGACCTCAGCTACAAGGTGTAACGGGCAGCTAGAAGTGTGGGATTC